CAAATTAGTAAGTTGCGACTCTTACTTGGCAAGATATATAGGGTAGGGAAGGAGAGAGTGGAAGAGGAGAGGAGGGGAAGAAGAGAGACAGGAGAGGAGAGGAGTGTAGGAAAAAAAGATATGAGGAGAGAGAAGAATAAGAAGAAAAGAAAAAGAGGGGGAGGAGAGAAGAAAGAAAGAAAGAGGAAGGAGAGAGAGGAAGAGGAGTGGAGGGTAGGAAAAACGAAGGAGAATAAGATTAGGTGAGGTAAATCAGTGTGTTCTTAAGGGGGCAGAAGACCCCAGAGGAGGTGGTGGAGGAGGCTGAAAAACAAGTGAGGAAGATATGTAAACAAGGCAGATGATATTTAATGCTCAGACTCTACCCCATAAACACACTATATATATAATCCAATCCTCTATCTTACAGTATTTACAGTAGTGACGAAGGAGATCCACTAAAGATCTATAGTCGTATTTTACTGATTAATTAATTGTTTTGAGAAGTTGTATATAGAAAAAAATTACCTTAAAGAAGAAATAATGAAGGTAAAGGAAGAGAAAGGATGGAGAAGACAACCTCGGATAAAGATAGGAATAAAAGAATTACCGACAGAATTTAACCCCAATTATTTTGAAATTCCCGAGGCGGCCCCAGTGGTGGTGGAGGATGTGGGGGAAGGGTGGGGGTAGTGAGTCTGAAGGAGGGAGGTAGGGAGGGGGGGGGAGATGGTGAGGAGCAGTCGGTAGCTGGTGGGGAGGGAGGGGAAGGGGAGCCTCAAAAATTAATTTACCAAAGCATTCTTCTCATTAAAATTTCGGGCAACTTTTGCAGGGCGCAGAAACCCCCCCGCATATAATATGAGTTCCCGGGCTGCATTCTTATCGAATATAATCTCTTGGGCAACTTTGGTAATTTTGCAGCATGAGGGAAGGCGGCGGTGAGACCCACAAACTTTTTTCTTTCTTTTCTTTCTTTATTTCTTCGATATTTCTTTCATCTTTTATTTTATTTTATTATTTAAGATTTTCGACTCGTGATTCATAAATTTGTTATTCATCGTTATGTTCTGGTCATCTTGTGAAGTGAACCCGAGTTTATGTTCCTCCTTGGCCTTGAAAACTATTTATTTTTTCTCTCCTTCTCTTTCTCTCTCTTTTGATATATTTATTTCCTCAACTAAATGGAGAAAATGTCTAAAAAAATGAAGGGTTAGGAGCTGTTTCCAAATGATTACATCCGCTTTTGGGTAGACCAACAAAACCATCTTGTAATGACGGAATTAAAGACGGAGAAATGGAAAAACTAATACCAACTCAGCCAAACAAGAGCCTTTAGACGCGAATTAAAACTTGGAGAAATTTTCCCAAACTTCTTTCGCTTATTAGATTTAGCTAGCAGTGTGAAGAGGAGGCTGTTTTGACGTCTAATTAACCAAACTACTTCTGTCGATCGATACGGCGTTGGCTACTGCTGCTGCTGCTGCTCGTGGTGGTGGTGGTGGTAGTGGTGCTGGCCCCTCTAGCTACGGTCAGACTTCTTCAGTCTTTTGCGCTCAACCCGGCTTGAAGACTTGGAGAGCGGCCGGGAGTAGGGCTGCCCGCCACACACAATGCACGGAAAGAAGAGACGCGGAAAATAGCCTCGACAATAGACGTGCACAGCCAACTGGGCTAGACCCAATGGAGGAGACGGCGACGGAGGAGGAGGAGAGATGCCTGAGTAGCTATCTTCACTGGCTCGCGATAGACAGGTGAATGGATGGACCAGGAGTGATATAGAAATAATTTTTTTTCAAGATGCCCTCAAGGCTAACTCATAAGGAGACATATATAGACCGACTGGAGAAAGGATTATACACTTAGGTACATTAAGATAGATGGTTATATTAAGGTTTGGTCCGGTTGGGTTAATAGGATAGTTATATATCTAGACACAGTGACATAGCGTACAGTTGTTGAGGATAGGTATAGTAGGAACCTTTTTGTAAACATCTTTGGATAGTCAGACTTACGTATACAAGAAGCAGGAAGAAAGACACATAAGAGAAGCAAACTAAAGGACGAACAGTGATTACACAAAGGTCTTTAAAGAGAGTTGTTTGTAAAGTCGAATTAAACATAATGTGGAGGTATGAATTATTAAGGTATCATTCAGATCTATACAATAATAAGTCCAGGTAATAAGGTAATTACAGGTAACAGGTGTATCATTGTATTGTCGTCGAAAAAATATTAAAATCGATATAACTTCAACCTTGATGATACACAGTAGTCAAGGGCACAGCATATGTACATGTAAACACGACCTTAACCACATAGGTAAACACACACACACACACATACACACACACACACATACACACACACACACACACAAGCAAAACAAAATAAAATATGGTAAAGGATCACAGGTGGACAAAGAATATCCTCATGGACCCATTTACCTCTGGGGATGACTTCTGGCTCTTGACAAAAGCCTCTGCCTTCAGCGAGAGGACTTCCATCTTTATCAGAAACCTCCACCTCCCTCAAAGACTTCCACCTGTAATAGATTTTTTCCCTTTCGAGACCTCCACTGAAGACCTTTACCTCCACTAGAAACCTCCACTAGAAACCTCCACCTCCACTAGAAATCTCCACCTCCTCCACCTCCACTCAGCACGCAGCTTCCTCTCCTCCCTCCTTTCCTCTTATCAGGGTGATGTACTGATCCCTTGAGGGTGAGCGTCAGTCCGACTAAGTACCACTTAAGGGATGCTTCTAGGAAACACGTGGCTTCTGGAGGTCATCCTTGAAGAAGTTATTGGTGATTTTTTCTCATCCTTATTGTCATTCCTGGAGTTTTAAATGGAAAATATTCGTGATTTTAAGAATACTTTAGTTTACCCAATTCCTGAGACCCCCCCCTCCCCCCCATCCATCCATCCCAACCTCCAGTTCCTACCGCTTGTAAACCCTAAAAAAAAAACGACAGACACTCGGTTAAAATATAATTCTACCAATAGTGAAACTCCTGTGTAGTTGGAGTATAATTAGTTTTTATCTTTCTAGCGATACACTCACACAAGACAGAGAAGTGCACTCAGTCACAACACACTGAGGGAGAGGAAGACACTGAACTCCTGTATCTCGTTTCGGTCTTCACACTCCAGTAGTTTTGTTCGTACATTTAGAGCAGCACGAGATGGAGGAGTGAGCTCAGTGGTGTGTAAATAAAAGCCGTGACAATAATGTTAGAGCGTTGCGGCGTGCCACGGTTGGGGGGGCAGCACTTAGCCTGCACAACAACCTCTTGGGCCAAACTTGGACTCTGGCTCTAAATAGTCCCCCATCTTGAGCGCCTCGTTTCAGCTTACTCTCTCTCTCTCTCTCTCTCTCTCTCTCTCTCTCTCTCTCTCTCTCTCTCTCTCTCTCTCTCTCCCAGCACTTCCTGTTTCCGGCATTTTCCTCTTCCGTAAAAAACAATTAAATGAAGCCGCTAATTTGGCCAAACAGTGTGTGTGTGTGAGAAGCGGCTTTTAGTTCTTCTCTCTTTTGCTGCCGTCATTAAAGCTGTGGCTGCCGTCTTGGGTTGCGGCCGCTCGTATTCAGGCTACTTTCCAACTTCTCACGTTACTTAAGAAGGTTCAATCCATCATCATTTCCAAGTTACACAAGATAAATTAGCCGTAATTTATCATCAACCAAAGTGGATCACTCACACATCCCACCTCTGTTCTTTTCGCGCTAACCGCCCTCCACGGTAAAAATGGCGGGAAAAAGCGCGCCAGTTTTACGAAGATTTTTTTGGGCGGGAGTTCTGTTTTCTTGTCGCACGCTTCACGGGCCCCATCGTGCACCGTGATATGTCCGGAAGCTACTGGACGAATTCCAAAGAATTTTTAGACAGTTCTTTGTGTTCCGAAAATGCATTTGCTGTGGGGGAATGTATGCTTTTGGGCATATCCGCGTATGATATTCGCTGGACTTTTGTTAAGACCAGAGAGAGAGAAAGAGAGAGAGAGAGAGAGACGAAATTCTAAAGGTTTCTGGTTGTGTTCTGAACAATAAGCGTTTAAACTCTTATGGTGGCTTTAGCCCTTCCCGTCTCTCTTATAATCATCACTTATGCAATGCTTACAATTCTTATTCTCCTTTCCCTAACTATAAATTATGGAAGAGATGTGTGTGTGTATGTGTGGAATTTTTTCTTCTCCTAGATGACAGATAAAGGCGGAGACAGAAAAAAATAACCTTCTCCTCGACGAGTCTTTACAAGGCTGCTGTCTCCCGTCTTGAAGCCTTCCAAAAACTTTTTATCTAGACACAATTTGATGAAGCGATATCAATATTGATTTAACAGTAGCATTTTACTGGTACGAGACTCTGTGTGTGTGTGTGTGTATACGTATGTGAGCGTGTTTGTGTGTGTATGTATGTGAGTGTGTCTGTGTGTGTGTGTGTGTGTGTATGGTCTATTGTATGTCCATTGTGTGTGTTTTATGATTTGTGTAAATGTGTATATGTTTACAATGTATATATGTATTGGTGCGGTTGTGTTTGTATATTTGTATTGATGCTTCCATAACTTTATTTACATTGGTGGTGTTCCCCTTACACACACACACACACACACACTTGTTCTCTCTCTCTCTCTCTCTCTCTCTCTCTCTCTCTCTCTCTCTCTCCTATCAGAAATATGTGACATAATCGTACAATATATTTTAAAATAATAAATAGTTTCAACGATCGCGTGAATATTTCAGATAAAACCTACCTTATCCCTGATGTTAATCACATTCTTTTTAGGCTCGAACTTGTAACCTAACGTCAAGCTGACTGTGTCACGCCTAAGTGAATTAATATGTGGCATGTTTAACTCGACGGTATGACAACCTGATGCTACAGTTATATAGATGATCACCCGACTCTGGACTCATAGTGAAGACGATCTAACACGCTTATGTACAAATATATCCCGGCGTGATAGTTATGTAAGTTGACTTGGCATGATTTTAAGGCATGATGATTTAGATGGCATGACGTGGCTCTATACTGACCAGGTGTTGTTGTTACAGGACACTACTGAGGGCGAGGCTGTCGGCGGCGGTGCAGGAGGGAGCGACAGTAATCAGAATGGCCCCTCGTTGCCCTCTGGCCTGAGTCCTGCCATGGCTGCCGCAGCTGCTGCTGCCGGAGGTGTGGGCGCCCACTCCCTCCTCCAGCAGACCATGTGCCAGCTGCTGCGGCCTTCGTCCCCCCGGCCAGACCTACCACTCTCCCCGCCCCCTCTCGGCCACGGCTCCGAATCACGGCACCTATACTGGGGCGCCCATGACCTGAGGGCTGACCCCGACCGCCAGGATACCCACTCCCCGCTCTCGATCGAGCCCTCCAAGGTAAGTGTATCCCTGTTGCCCCTCTACCTCGCTCACCTCGGCTCTTGCCCCATTTCTTGCTCACATCTCCCCCTTCTTATAACCTCCCTTCTCCTACTTTTCTTCTTTGTCTCTCCAGTTATGCCCCAAATATGCTCTCATGCCTATGCCCTCCCCAATTACGGTCTCTCCCCAGCTTGACTGCTCAACTACTTCCTCCCTCCCTTTTCTTCGTGTCGTGACCACTACAGACAGTCACTCCCTCCCTCTGTGTTAAGCGACCAGCCAGGGTAAGTCTTGTTACATCGATTCATCTCCATGCATAAATTCTGTCAACACTCTTTAACTTCTTAATTCTCTAAGACGTCGGAATGTCTGTCTTGCCTTAAAAAAAAGTCTTTAATGTGTCTTTTATTCATTTATTATTTGTTTTCTTATTCTGTTTATTTATGGTGTTTTTATTTGTTTTTGTTCGTATTTTGTTTTCACTTCGAAGACAACCCGATCGTTTACAGTAAACTTTTTCTTGACTCTTTTGTTTTCTTCTGATTCTTCCGTCTAATATTTTTCCTCTTGTTTCCTCCCCCTTCCCAGAAATTCTATACCCCCAAAGCTTTCTATCTCTCTGTTATTGTATCTCTCCTATTTCTCCCTCTCCTCCTAGTCTCTCGCCTCTTTTTTTTATCCTCTCACTGTTTCCTCCTATCCTCCTCACTGCACCTCTCCTCCCTTTTCTCTTCTCTCTCTCCTCCCCTTTTCTCACTCTTCCCCCTGCCTCCCATACTGTCTTTCCCTCTCCCATCACACCACAAACTTTCCATTCCCTTTTCCCCACTTCATTACCCTTTCCACACCTCTCCCTGCCTCCCTCCCTTTCTTCACTCCCTTTCACCCTTTTCTCCTCCATCCCTTACCCTTTTCCTTACCTCCCTCCCTCCCTCTCTCCCTCCCTCAAACCTTCTACCCCTTTCCTCACCCATTTTTCGTACCTTTCGCTCCCTCATTCCCTCGCCTCTACCACCAAGCCTCCCTCTCCCCCTTTTCCTCACCCCCTCCCTCTCTCTCCGTCTGGGCTCCTCCTGCCAGAGTGAACATCGAAACTAACTTCTCCCCGAGAGCTCTCATAAGAAATTGCTTGTAGTTCTTTGCTCTTTCCATTATAAAGGAGAATGGAGTGACGTCCTCAGTTTAGTTCTCGTAGGTGAAACTTGGTATAAATTTTACCTTCTCTCTGGGACTCCGGTTAGTGGGTGGGAGGAAGGGGGGTAATATACAATAAGGAAGAAATATGAAGAAAATTAAGATTACCTGAAGATAAAACATCGTAATGCTAACCTAACCTAACGTAATCTGAACCTAACCTAACCTAACGTAATCTGAACCTAACCTAACCTAACCTAACCTAACCTAACCTAACCTAACCTACCCTGAGAGGAATAATGATAAATTAATGTATTTTGAGGTCATGGTTTAGCTTGGCTCTAGTTATGTTAGCCTGACCTTTTGACCTTTTGGCCCTGATAACCTCGTGGTCTCTATACCTCGTAAGGGACTCGATACACCTAGAGGTCAAGGAATTAGGTCAGTACTCGGGTTCTTTTCGGTAAAATGAGGTCAAGTCGTACCACAGGAGAGGTATTTTAAGTTACATGTACGGTATATAGAGATGTAGTGTGTATCTGTGTATAAGGAAGACGCAAGAGAAGACAGAAGAATGGAACGAAAGAAAAAAAACATCTCTCAAAGAAGAATTAGGAAGGTGTAAAATTGAGCGAGGGGAGACCTGGTGGACTGTGAGAGACCAAAGAGAGAGAGAGAGAGAGAGAGATACAGAGAGACTGAGGGAGAGAGAGAGGCTAAGGGAGGAAGTTCTCCTTTGCCGATTCTCAGGAGACTATTAAGAAATTGCTGTCTCGCTTCTTTGGCAACTTTTCCTCAATTCCACCAGGGAAGGTTTTGAGACGGCCAGGCAGAGTGTGTGGGGGGAGTGTGTGTGGGGTTTGGGGGTGTGGGGGGGTGTGTGTGGAGAGTGTGTGTGTGTGTGTGAGAGAGAGACGCCTTCACTCACACTCAGCCACTGTCAGCACTCCCTCGCTCCTCCTCAACTATTCATCATCATCTTAGGAGGAGGAAGAGGAAGGGGAGGAAGAGGAGGAGGAGGAGGGGTGCGAGGTGACGAAAAGAAACACACCCAAAAAAAATACGGAAGGGCGAAAAAAAGACGACGGACCAACGTTTAGAGGCTTTGGTGTGGTGCCTCATAGGGCTCGAGTGAGTATCATCCTGAGACTTGGCCGACTACCTCACCTTCCTCTGCTGGGGGACTGTTCCTCGCCGCCGGGTCCAGTGGAAAAACGACAAGAATTTCAACTCTCGGCGTGATGTTTGTTAAGAAATGGGGGAGTTTTCTTATAGCGACCGTGTGTTTTGTGATAGTGCTAATGGTGGTGGTGACGGTAATAGGTGATGGGTGATAGTGGTAGTGGGTGATGGTGGATGTTGGTGGTGGTGGATGATGATGGATGCTGATGGTGTGGGAGAGCAGCAGGTGTAGGCGTTAAGGGGCCCCCGGATGTTTAAGGAGAATCGGTAATGTCTCTGGTCTTTTAATTCCTGCCAAAATAACTTTTAAGTGACCATAAAAAGAATCTCGCACACTAGTTATTGTTTCTTGAAGCCGAGTGTCACGAGTTTGAGGAATTCTTGTGTTAACTAATAAACTAAGAGACGTTTAGCATTATCTACACCATTAGAACATAGATCGCGACATTTTAATAAAGAAAACTTAAGTATAATAATTTGCGTATAGAATCTGTGACGTTCTTTGTTGTTAATGGTATTTTACTTCGTTTTTATGTTGTAGAGAAAGATGCTTTCTGTTCCCTCAGCCTGTGTTATCCTCCACACCTGGGTCACTTCACGGTCCCAGGTGCATTTCACAATCCATGTTTCTCTAAGAAGCTATTATTTCTCTTATCTTTATACGTAAAAAAAAAAAAAAAAAACTTTGCTGAAACTTAACAATTTTACAGCCATTGTGATAAAAGATTTCAAGAGGAGTGAAATAAACTTAATTGAAGGAACAAGTGAGTGTAGTGTGAGGCAGCGTGTGGGGGCTCCTGTAGTGACATACTGGTGGCGCTGTAGGTGGTCCTCAGCTTCGCCCTTCACTACCTGCAGAATATAAAACGGACCATCAGGCACAGTGTATCTGGCGCCTCCAGACCACGAGATTCCAACACACTCCTAACTGGACTGTCGTCTTATCCACCACTTCAGCCAGCGATTCTCTTCCTTCCCAGCATGAGTGGCTTTGAACAGTCTTGCCCCAAAGGCCTCTTCATTATTATTACTTGGCCATCAAAACCGGAGACAAATCCTCAGACATAATCCATTCGTCAATAAATGCCCCCCCAACATAGCGTCTCGTGCGGGATTACCGAGGCCGGAGAAATCCCGCTCATTTTAGCCGGATTAACAGACATGAAATATGTTTTTACTAATGGATCCCTTAGATTTGATATGGCAATTTCCTGACCACGAAACGATTATCACTTTTTTTCGTGAGCTGCGTGTGGGGGTCGAGGGACACAGAGTGAACTAGATTCCTTTCAAATGTTATTACGTCCGCCAGAACTTTGATTTTTTTGTCGGATTAAAGCAGTGATTCAAAAGCTTTTTAAGCAAGCGATTTTGATCTAGCGCATGAAGGCTGATGTGGACGTGTCAACTGAGGGCTGTGATTGGCTAAGCCCCCGTCTGCCTAGTTCACTGTCGCCAGCTTGTTTTATACGCGTTCAGGTTTAATCCTACCCTGAAAATATGCAGAATCATATTAATATCTGGAGAGTCTTTAGTTACTTGAAGTGAAGAATAAATAAAAATTCCCACCATGTTAAGTCGTGTATGAATAAAACTTAAATGTATCTGACAAAAGTGCACAAGTACCAGCATAAAGGTTGATTGACTTAACTACCTACCAAGAGGCGGCGCCCAAGACTCTAGATATCATAAGAGATTCAAGGAAAGAAATACAAGAGGGGCAGGGGAGGGGAGGGAGAGAGGTTGAGGAGAGGGGAGAGGGGGGAGAGAGAGAGAGAGAAAGAGAGAGAGAGGAAAAAAACCTGACATTTGAATTAACACATGCAAACAAGAGGTCGTGTTTACACTGGGCGATCTGCATTTTTCCCGGCCTCCCAGTTGGCTGCCCAGACCTCTCCAAACCCCTGTTGGCTGCCCCCTCTCCCGGTCCTGGAGTAATAGTTCACGAGAGCGCTCTAATGTCTACTCTCATGATATTTTCCCCGTTTTTCACCCTAATGTAGCCTTTTCTTTCGGTGGGTCTGGCGCGGTACTTGACGAGCTGGGTGTTTGGCCGGACAGGGAAAACTGTAGGCAGGAGGACGGCCGGTCGCGGGGGTGCTTGAGTCTGTTCCTAATCCATTTGGCCGCGCTTAGGAGGTGGGAATCGCGTTTTCTCTTGCTTGAACCCCCTTCCTCCCCCCCCCACTCTTCCTCCTCCTCCACCCTTGCTTGTTATGGTCAGGAGGGTCAGCTGCTTGTGCGGCTCCCTCACTTCTCTCCTCTTATTCATCTCTTTTGTTAGTGTTTTTTTTTTTTGCGTGTGCGTGTGCGTGCGTGTGTGTGTGATACATAAAAATAACACCTTAACATTATGGCTCGACTTCCTGTAGTGAAGAAAAGATAAATTTTTTCCCCTAAATGTGTTAATGTAATATTTCCACAGCTAATTGGTGGTCTGTGTGCTAACTCTCTCAGCCTGGTAGTAGATGGACCCCGCCATGACTACCACCACTACCACCACCCATGTCCTTCACCACATTACCACCACTACCACCACCCATGTCCTTCACCACATTACCACCACTACCACCACCCATGGCCTTCACCACACTACCACCACATTATTAAAACTCTGGACCACACACATAAATACACACACACACACACACACACACACACACACACAAACACACACATATATATACACAAGCCATTCA